TCCCCTGGCTGCAAGGCCCGGCCGCGAGAGGACCGGCCGAGCAGGTCGGCAGGTAACAGGCTCTGAGGACGGGCCCCCGGCCCCGCTTCCTGGTCTCCACGCCCTGCCCTCTCCGCCCCTGGAGTGTGGCCTGGGCCTCGGGACTTGCTTCTAAACAACAGAGCGTGGCCAAGGTGACAGCGGTCACTCTGAGATCCGGTCACGGAGATGGAGGGCAGGCAGCGCGTAGGGTGGGGGCGAGGCCCTGGGACAGGACTCAGAGGCCGCCTCTGCCCCCGGCCCTGGAGAGCTGCATTCTCCGCCACCACGGGCGGACGCGGGTCCTCCCCGCCCGGCTGCAGATGAGACCCCACCCGGTGACACCCCGACAGTGAGGAGAGGCGGACGTGGATGCCCGGGCGGCTGGGCCAGGTCTGACCCTCAGACACTGTGGTTTGTCACGCAGCTGTAGGCACTGATGCAGCGGGCAGCCCCACACCCATGAGCTCTCCGTCGCCGGAGGCGGCCACGCACCCTCCCCGCTCCTGGGCACAGCACACCCGTGGTGTGGGGTCCAGGCCTCCTTCTCTGATCGCGTGCCGGCTCCAGGAGGGCAGGCGCCGGATGCTCCATCGTTCACCAACGAGTGTGCGCTCAGCACCACGCACGGCCCACGTCGGGGCGGGACTCGGCGGCGTTTTAACTGGTGAAGGACTTCGAGTGGGTGTAGAGCCAGGGGGCAGCAGCCTTCGCTCTCAGTTCCCACGCACACAGAGCACTTGCTCTTTAAGAAGGAAGGTGAGAGCGTGGTGTCCGCCTGGACAGCTGCCCTGTGCAGGACCCTCCTTCTCTCTGGATCCTCACCCAGCAGTGAGGGTATTTTCCCACTGACTTTTAGAGAGTGGGAGGGAGGGGGGAGAGGGAGAGAGAAAGGCGGGGGAGAGGGAGAGAGGGAGAAACATCGATGTGACAGACACACCAACTGGGTGCCTCTCCCACGCGCCCCGACTGGGGGAGGGGATCGGACCTGCTACCCAGGTCCATGCCCTTGACTGGGAATCGAACTCACGACCCTTGGTGTGGGGGCTGCAGCTCTAACCACTGAGCAACCGGCCAGGGCACCATGACTCTTGCTAAGGAAGCCAGAGCTGGGGCTGGGGACCCAGATGGCTGACCCTGGGCAGCACTGCCCTCCTCGCTCGAAGGCTCGCCTTCATGGCGCTGGGCCCTCCGAGGCAGAGTCAGAACCGCAGGAAGAGGGGGCGCTCGGGGAAGTGGGCTCCACTCTCCGAAACAGAACAGCCCCCACCTCTGTCCTGTCCGCTCTCCTGCTCAGGACGCTTCGTCCCCTAGCTCACCTTCCTTCTCTGCTCACCTGGCAAACTCCTACTCATCCTTCAAAGCCCTCTGGCCTCAGCTCCTCCTGAGCAGCCTTTGAGGACCCCACTGGGAGCTCCTCGTCTCTCATGGCCACGCCTCACCCCTCTCTGCTCTGGCTGATCCACAGGCCTCAGTGACCACAGCCGTGCCGGCGTGTCCCGCCGCCCCCCTCCCCAGTGTGGGCTCCCGCTTCCCAGGGCTTGGACCTGGGCTGGCACCCAGGAACCTCTGTGCCCAGGCAGCGACAGAGGCCGCAGTCTCACCCCTGACCCCTGGCTTCCTCCGAATGAGGAACCAGGAGCTGCGGCAGGAAGTGAGCAGCTCACTCCTGGGAGGTGTTCCAACCGCATGACCTGCCGCGGCGGAAGGGCAGCTGGGAGGCAGCGCAGCTGTGACAACACCCCCTTGGGCGGGGAGCGGTCATTAGTCCCAGGCCCCTCCGTCAGGGCTGACCGTCAGCTATCCTGCCCCCGAGGGCCCCTGGTCTGTGTCAACTGCTTTCGGCCACAGGACCAGCCCACCCGAGTGTGGGAGCGGCGGGCGGGACGGGTTGTTCTGAGGTCGCGGTGGGGGGTCCTGAGGCTGGAGGCCGCACAGACGGACAGACACAGAGGGAACCGGGCCGCCAGGGGGACCATGGGGCGGACACGGAGCACTGTCCACTCCCCCTGACCAGGCCGCCCAGCAGCACCCCGAGGCCCCTCTGAGCACCCCGCGAGGGGCAGATGTGGAGGAGCGCCCGGGGCAGGACTGTGTGGCGTGTCCCCCTGGGGGCATCGATGTGAAGCGTCCGAAACGAAACGCGGTGTGAGGGTCGTTCACACGCTGCCCTCACCGCTGGGTGGGCATTCACGCTGGGCGGGCAGGCTGGGGACACCACAGTGTGGGCAGCAGGACGGGGCAGGGGGGTGGGGGGGCGATGGGTGATTTCACACAGTTTCCAAGGTGCTTCCCAAAGCCTCCAGGCCGACGTGTCTTGTTGTGGGCGAGGCCGTGGGGTGGGGCGTGTGCCGTCCTCGGAGGGACCGGGCCGAGCTGGTGCCCGAGGCCACAGCACAGATGACCACACTCGGTGCCTCACCCCTCGGGAGCGGGTCCTCTCCCGGCTCTGAGATCCGGGGGGGTGCGGCTGGCTGGTGGCTGCATCTCCCTCACCCGACTCCATGGCCCCGGCCTTCCTTCCTGTGCACCGCGTCCTCCTCCTTCCAAGCCGCCCATCACAGACCTGGGCCCCGCGAATCCAGTGTGACCTCATCACGCAGGACTCCACAAAGACCCAGTCCAGCAAGTCTGTGACCCACATGCGGGCTCGGACCCGGACGCTCAGTTCAACCTATGACACGCTAATCAGCACAAGAAGACAGAGGCCTGGCCGCCGTCCTCAGTGCCTGGCGGGCAGCCGTTACGGGTTGGATGTAGCCGTGGGGCTCCGTGGGGGAGAGCGTGGCCGTGGGGCTCCGTGGGGGAGAGTGTGGCCGTGGGTTCC